TAAGTACCATTGTGAACCAGAATAATGACAACCACTTCTTCCAGGGCTCCCCAGAAAGTGCCCCCCAAAACCTGCTACATCAAAGCAGGCGGGCAATGACAGATTAAGTCCTTTTCCCTAATATGGAGACTTTCCCACAAAATAAATCTAAGGACAGTTTGGCAAAACTAGAATTGTGTTCTCCCTGTTTAAATATTTTAGATGCCTGTATTCTCTGTTTTGTTGCTATCAGCAGAAAATAATTATGTTCTAATCATTCCATAGCTCTCAAACATGGCTAATTTTGGTCAGCTGTCTACCATGAGTGTTTCATTATTTATGTCATGTGATCATTTCATATACTTCAGATACTACAGTATGCATATGCAGAGGGCTGTGGGTGCTGGTGAGAGTGGGTGGGTGGGGGTGTGCATGCATGGGTGCACACAAGTAAAAGCGTGTGTCTTGTGGGTCTTATATCTTTATTTATCTACAAAATTACTTAATTTGTCCAAGAGAAAGAGGAAAGAGGGGACTTGCCTACTTTCCTCCATCTCCACCTGTGTCTTCAGCCGTTACCTCTAGTGAAGGCAGCATCAAGGCAGCCCTTAATCTCATAGTTCCTCAATTTCCTCAGAGGCCTTCCATTTAACCTATGTCCTTAGTCTTTCTAAACCTCCCCTTTATGTCTCTTTTCTTTTTCTTTTCTTTGAGGGGGGGAAGAAAGAGAGAGAGAGAGAGAGAGAGAGAGAGAGAGAGAGAGAGAGAGAGAGAGAGAAGAGAAAGGGAGAGAAAGAGAAACATCTATTGACAATTCTTTGCATGTCCCCCACTGGCGATTGAGCCCACAACCCGGGCAGATACCCTTACTGAGACTTGAACCAGCAACCCTTCGGTGCAAGGGTCAACACTCAACCAACTGAGCCACATCGGCCCGGCCATTGTTGTTTTTAACTCATTCATTCATACAACAAATATGTATTATTTATGCCAAGCACTGCACTTGGAAGTAGGGTACAATAATAAGACCAATATGGCCCCTGGCCTAACTGAGCAATTATGTATATGAAATATACATATATTTTTAATATATATTATTATACATATATATGTGTGTACATGTGTGTATGTATGTGTATGTATATGTGTGAGTGTATACAGTAAGTGGCCAGATTATCATGACCTCTGAATGCATAATAATCTGGCCACTCAGTGTATGTGTGTGTGTGTGTATGTGTGTGTGTGTGTGTGTTAGAGGTCCAGTGTATGAATTCGTGCATGGGTGGGGTCCGGCCAGCCTGGCCAGGGGGAGGGGACATGGGCGGTTGGCCGGCTGCCTGCTAGTCGAACTCCTGGTCAAGGGGACAATTTGCATATTAGCATTTTATTATATAGGATATGCGCTGAGTGGCCAGATTATTATGTGTTCAGAGACCATCATCATCTGGCCACTCAATATATATATCTCCTCACTGGGAAGAACTTTGCTACAAATCACTCCTAGCTCCCCAAGGCAGATCCATTATTAAAGTACATGCTTCCACAAATTGAAAGGCAGAGCCACTCCCGTGCCCAGGAATAAGCTGCTTCCCCAAGGCATCCAGTGGCCTCCGGGTGGCTGGGCTGAGGTTCCCCTTCACACACCCTAAGAGTCCCTGCCAAATCTGACCTCATGTCTTAACCACAAACACACAGCTAATAATAGCTCCTGCTCTTGACTTACAAAACACAATTCTTAAAGGCAATTTTTGAGAAACAGCCAGCCGTCTGGAAGGAAAACTTCCAGAGCCTACCCGGTAACTACTACCAGAGTCAGACTCCCCACAGCCGCATGGCACTTCCAAGCTCCACCAGCAAAGTCCTTTGAAAAGGATCCAAGGCTCCCCGAACCAGTGAGTGTGTGAGTTCACCCCGGAGGTCAACCCCGTTAATTATCCCTGCCAGGTTCTGTTCTCTCAGAATAAGTAAGAGATGGCAATCTTTTGGGATATGATGGAGAAAAATGTGTAACCGAATATTTCATATCGTTATGTATATTTATACATTATTGTTAGTAGAATTGGCATGTGTTTAGTGGCTCTGAGGGAAATATTTATGTAAATTGTTGCATTTAGTTATTAAAAAGCTAATGTCTCTTGTATTTTTTAAAATATTTTTATTGATTTCAGAGAGGGAGGGAGAGGGAGAGATAAAAGCATCAATGATGAGAGAGAATCATTGGCAAGCTGCCTCCTGCATACCCCCCGCTGGGGATCAATCCCACAACCTGGGCCTGTGCCCTTGACTGGAATTGAACCAGGGACCCTTCAGTCCACAGGGTGATGCTCAATCCACTGAGCCAAACTAGCTAGGGCACATCTTTTGTATTTTTCATCCTTCAATTCAACAATCAAATGATAACATCTTCGTTCTACTTAGACTATTTGTAAAAGCAGAACATACATTCAAGAAGTCTAATTTAAGTGACTTCCTAAGGGTTGATAGTGAATTGTAAAGACATCAAATCCCAGGCAGAAAAGGACTGTAACCTTTATGAAGGCAGGGACCATGTCTATTCTGTTCACAACTGTATGCCTAAGCCTAGTGTAGTTGGCTTGCATGAACTAGATGCTCAATAAACATGTGATGTTTAATGGATGGATGGATGGATGGATGGGGGATGAATACATAGATATGGTTCTGTATTTATTTGGATTGGTAGAGGAAAAGTTAGGGGTAGAAAATAATCAATGAGTTAGGGAAAGATTTCTGTCCCGCATTAATGATGCTATGCCTATGGTTGGCAATAAAACAAAATACCCTGAGAAAAGCTTAGAAGTTGGGGGAATTACGGTGTAGAGCCTGGAATGCAATGTTAGGCAAATAACATCATCTTTCGAGGCCCATTTCCTCATCACTAAAATTTCACTTGGAGGAATATTGAGAGGATGAAATGAAATAACAATGAAAGAACTCATTGGACTGCCAGGCAGTGTTGTTAAATTGCTGGAAAGAGATACAATAAAGAGAGTTGATCGTCACCTCTGTGCTAACGGGCATGTCACTCACATGCAGGGAGTAGAGAGAGCATCAGAAAATATGGGCTCTTGGAAACCTGTGATCACTTCCAGTGTGCACAGATAAAAGACCTTGCTCTCTGTCTGTGGTGCAGCATTATGTCTTTAAGTAAAATGCTTCTCAAGATGAACTGTGTTCATCTCCCCCCTGAAAAAATAAAATGAAAGTTTATTTTTACCATCTCATGGCTCTCCGTGTTGTGTGTGTTCTAGAATTATTTTAAAATATCGCAAAATGTGGCCAGAGAGAGGCACAGAAGTCTAGAGCAGGGGTCAGCAAACAGCTCCTGTGAAGGATCGAGTAGCAGCTATTTTAAGCTTTGCGGGCCATACAGTCTGTTACACACTATTCAACTCTCATCTTGTAGCATGGAAGCAGCCAGAGACAATTGAGAGAGAAATGGATGTGTGTGCGCTCTGATAAAACTTATTTATGGACACTAAGGTGTCCATTTTGTGCAATTTTCACATGCCACCAGATATTCTTCTTTTCTTCCCCTCTGAGACATTTTCCAATTTTTGGCACGTGACACAGTGCGCAAATGCTGTTTCATTGAATTTTATACTTGAAACCTTACTGGTTTCGTGAACTGTCATCTCCCCAATAAATTCAAATTTTAAAAGGAAAAAAATGTTCTTCTTTTGATTTTTAACAAACATTTAAAAATATAAGACAATTCTTAGTTAGCAGGCTGTACAAAAGGCCTGAAAGGCTGAATTTGCCCCACAGGCCATAGTTCAGTGGCTCCTGATATAGAGCAAGCTGTTGTTTTCATATTGACTCAGTCCTTTAATGAATTGGGGGTACTTGTTGATGTTCTTCTGATGATCCGATGGTAAAGATCTAAAAGGTTAATACTTAGCCCCTTGGCTTGGGTGGTTAGTGCTAAGCATGCAGAGTGTGGGTTCCAGGCTCAGAGCACACATGTATTCCTTTTTATTGAAAGTTTTGAGGGAGTTATAGATTCACATGTAATTGTAAGAAATAATATAAATGAGTGTACCCTTTTATCCAGTTTTTCCCAACAGCTTACAAAACTGTAGCATAATATCACAACCCAGGTATTGACATTGATGAAATTCACTGATCTTACTCAGATATCCCTGGTTTTACTTATACTCATTTCACTGTGTGTATTTAGTTTTATGCAATTAAATTACATGTATAGGTTCATGCATTCACCACCATAATCAAGATGCATGGCTAACCAAACTTTGGCACACACATACCATGGAGCAATACTCAGCAAGAAAAAGAAACATAGTATTGATACATGCATTAATTTGGATAACTCTCCAGAGAGTTATACTGAGTTTCAAAAAAGCAATCTCAGAAGGTTACATTGTGTATAATTCCATTTACATAACTTTTGAAATGACAACATTTTGCCCTACCTGGTTAGGCTCAGTGCATAGAGCTGCAGCGTGGGGACTGAAGGGTCTGGGGTTGGATTGTGGTCAAGAGCATATACCTGGAGTTGCAGGCTCAATTTCAAGTAGGGGGCATGCGGGAGGCAGCCAATTGATGTTTCCAACTCTGTCACTCTCATGGAAGTTTCTAACTCTTTATCTGTTTCCCTTCCTCTCTGTAAAATTAATAAAATATGTTTAAAATATATATATATAGTTTAATGGTTCCAGGCTTGAGGGAGGGTGTGAGAAGTCCAGAAGGAAGTGGGTAGGATTCTGTAAGGGCCAAAGAGGGATTCTTCTGGTGCGGGAAGCGTGTCTTGACAGAAGTATCTTGGTACATTTATATTTTTTAATCTTTTCTTAAAACCCAAAATGTTTTACCAAAATAAAATATGCCTCTCACCTGCCAGAGACTTCTTTTTTCTTCCTTTTTATAAAAAAGGGGGCTCAGCGAAGGTGCTACGTATTAACCTTTTAGACCTTTACCTTTGGATCGTCAAAAGAACATCAACAAGTGCTCCCAGTTCAATAAAGGACTGCAGTCAAGGCGGAGATGGATCTTGATCGCACTGTGGCCGGAAGCAGGAACCACGGCCATGTGGCGGTCACGTGGCGGCACCTGGCTCCCCGGCCGGAAGTCAGGGCCAGCGTTCCATGGCCCGGATCGTTGAGCGATTTCGATTCCAGTACATTTTTGTCCCTCCACGCTCGCCCTCACTGCCCTTTCTGCCATTGCTGGCCCCGCTGGCCATCCCTACCGACAAGTCAAGGACCATGGCTACCTGGCAGCCAGAGGAGGAGAACTTCAGCGCCCCCGTCTTCCCCACGGCCTCGCTGTACGTGGGGGACCTGCATCCTGAGGTAACTGAGGCGATGCTATACGAGAAGTTCAGCGCGGCCGGGCCCATCCTGTCCGTCCGGGTGTGCAGGGACACCGTGAGCTCTCGCTCGCTGGGCTACGGGTACGTGAACTTCCTGCGGCTGGCGGACGCGGGCCACGCGCTCAGCAACATGAACTTCGATGCCATCCACGGCAAGCCGGTGCGCATCATGTGGTGTCAGCGCGACCCGTCCCTCCGCAAGAGCGGTGTGGGCAACATCTTCATCAACCACCTGGACAAGGCCATCGGCAACAGAGAGCTGTACGACCTGTTCGCTGCCTTCGGGAGCATCCTCTCCTGCAAGGTGGCCTGCGACGAGAACGGGTCCAAGGGGCACGGGTTTGTCCACTTTCAGATGCGGGAGGCGGCCGACAAGGCCATCAAGGACATGAACGGGACGCTGGTGAAAGGGCGCCGGGTGTTCGTGGGGCAGTTCAAGACCCCGGACCAGCGGGAGGCGGAGCGCCGAGCCAAGGTAGAGGAGTTCACCAACGTGTACGTCAAGAACTTCGGGGAGGGCACGGATGACCAGTGCCTGCTCCGTGTCTTCAGCAAGTTCGGGCCTATCACCAGCGCCAAGGTCATGACCGATGAGAGCGGCAGATCCAAAGGCTTCGGCTTCATCCGGTTCGAACGCCACGCGGATGCCAAGAGGGCCATAGAGGAGCTGAACGGGAAGGAACTCCTGGGGAAGAAGATGTACGTTTCCCGGGCCCAAAAGAAGAAGGAGCGGGAGGCGGAGCTTAAGCAGCAATTGGAGGAGATGAAGCAAAGCCGGGCCCCCAGATGCCACGGGATCAGGCTCTACGTGAAGAACATGGCCGAGGGCATCGACGACGAGCGCTTCCGGAAGATGTTTGCCCGCTTTGGCACGATCACCAGCGCCAAGGTGCTGGAGGGGGAGCACAGAAAGGGGTGCGGGTTTGTCTGCTTCTCCGCCCCCGAGGAGGCCCGGAAAGCGGTGGCGGAAATGAACGGGAGAGTGCTGGCCGCCAAGCCGCTGTACGTGACCTTCGCTCAGTACAGGCAATGGCGGCCAGCCCAGCCCACTGGCCGCAGCAAGAAGAAAGCGGCCAGGGCCAAAGCCCCACGCAGATCGGGCGCCAAGCCCCCCCGGCTGGCACATCTAGGTCGCCTGGTGGCAGCTGCCCCACAGGCTGAGGATGCCGCAGTGGCCCACGGGCCTGCTAGCCAAGCTGCTCAACCAGCACCTAGTCCTCGCGACTCTGAAGTGGCTGCCACACCTCCTCCAATCCCAAATGTGCCCGGCGATGGTGACCCAGCCAGTCCTGGCACCGAGGCACCAGCTTCTGCCCCTCTGCCACAGGCAACCCCGGCACAGCCACAGCGTGCTGCCAGCGTACCAATGCCCACAGCGAGTCCACGCCCCACTCCCCGCTCTGCCCTGCAGTATCAGTACAACCAAGGCGTCTGCAACCCGCAACAGCTGGGGGCACAGCCACTGGAGAAGCGACCCATCGCCCGTAACCAAGGCAGCAGGTGTTTGATCGCCTCCACGCTGGCCTCAGCCTCTCCGGAAAACCAGAAGAAGATGCTGGGCGAGTGGCTGTTCCCGCTCATCCAAGCCCTACAGCCGGCTCTGGCCAGGAAGGTCACGGGCATGCTCCTGGAGATGGATAACTCGGAGCTTCTGCTTCTGCTCGAGTATCCGGAGTCCCTGTGTGCTAAGGTGGAGGAAGCGGTAGCTGTGCTGGAAGCCTGCCAGGCCCAGCAGGCCGAGAGGAAGCCGCTGTCTGCACCACCCGGCTTCCAGCTTTAACAGCCATCGGGGACCACGAGAAGAAAGTCCTGCTTCGCTCAACTAGACTAGCTGCACCTCGAGAACCGTTAGGGGAAAGCTTGCGAAATAGAAGATAAATTTTAAAAATGACTCTGAACATTCTGTCCTGAGAAAAGGCCAGGTCCAGCAAGCAATGCTAGTCCTAAATTACTTGTTGACTTAAAAACAACAAAAGATGCACACACACACACAAAAAAATAGTAAAATGTAAAAATGAGTCGGTGCTATGGACTCTGAGAAGAATTTTCAGCAAAAAGTACAAAAAGTTAAAGTATTTATTTCTGTAAGTGTGTTCATTCTTTACTGTGGTTACATTATGCAATTCTTGTTTTAGTAAAAATGCCTTCAATGGTGAAAAATATTTAATATTTAATATCTTACCTAGAAGTGAAACACTGTTATTAACTACTTTGTTAGTGAAGTTTGGGAATAGTTAAGACATGTAGATGGTTGCTACTGGGCACAGATTTGTAGGCATCAGATTAAGAAGTAAAAGTGAGATAAAACAATTTTCTGCTTTCTGCTTAATTGTTGAAGTGTGTTTTAGAGTGATGACTATTGGAAAAGCACATTTTATTTCCTGTTATAATAAATAATATTTTAATTATTTAATAAATATTATATTTAATATAATAATAAATAAATAAAGCCTTCAGGATTACTATTTCCATGCCTTATTAAACCTGCCTTTGATGGATGGATCTGGAGAGTGTTGTGGTAAGTGAAATAAACCAGCCATAGAAGGACAAACACCATAGGATTTCACTCCTGTGGAATCTAATGAACAAAATAAACTAACAAACAAAACAGAAACAGACTCATAGAAACAGAAAACAGACTGACACCTGTCAGAGGGGAAGGGGTTTGGGGGGCCGGGTGAAGAGGGTGAAGGGATTGGGCAAAAAAACATATATACCACATGACCTCACTACTCTGTGGATGCTAAGGAACAAAATAAACTGACAAACAAAATGAAACCAGAAGCATGCGTGCACAGACCTGACTGGCCAGTGCCCGAGGTAGGGGGAGGGGGGGGAGAGTGCTGGGTAAAGATGGTGAAGGGATTAGCTAAAGAACATATATGTGTGCCTCATGGGCACAGACAATATTTTGGTGAAGGCCAAGGGAAGGAGAGGGGGCGTGGGGGACACCTGCAATAATGTCAATACTAAAACATTTTAATGGAAAAGAAAACCTCACGGACACAGACAACAGCATGGTGGTTACCAAAGGGAGAGGGGGAGGGGAGGTGGAAAAGGGTAAGGGGGGATAAATGGTGACGGACGGAGCCTTGACTTCGGGGTGGTGAGCACACAGTACAATGGATGGATGACAGAATTATACACTTGAAATGTACATAATTTTATTAACAGATGTCACCCTAATACATTCAATTATTTAAAAAAAAAAAAAAAAAAAAACCTGCTTTTGGAGGCAGATAATTGAAAAGCCCCAACCATAGCTTAACTTATCATTGGCAAAGCTCCAGTTTGATCTGAACATTAACCATCTACAATGGGCATTTGGGATTATTTGTCTTCTTTCTTTTCCTTCAGAAAATTGCATTTTTAATTGACCTAAATCTAACTCCCGCAGATCCTGCATAAATGATCACAGTGTGAAACTTTTACATCTAATTTCTACTTCTGTGTGGTACATTAACATTCAGCAGGAAGTTTGAAGACCTAACACAATGCGATGGGATTTGGAGGTGGAGCCTTTGGAAAGTACTGAGGATTAGAGGAAGTCAGAAGCATGGGACTCCATAATGGAATTAGCATCCTTGTAAGAAGAGGGAAAGACCAGAGCACTCTACCATGTGAAGACATAGCAAGAAAGCAGCATCTGCAAGACACACAGTCTATGGTATTTTGCTGCAATAACCCGAGCTAAGACAACTCCATTGCTAGATGTAGTTTAAAGCATGCTTTCCCTGTCTGTGCTGCCCTCCACAAATTATTCTTAGCCTATTTTCAGTAAAATGGGGATTATAGTGGCAGCTGACTTGGTGTTACCATGAAGATAAAAAATGTTGATATCACCCCATCGGTGTGGCTCGGTAGTTGAGCATTGACTAGAGGAGGTCACAGTTTGATTCCCCATCAGGGCACATGCCCAGGTTGTGGGCTCGATCCCCAGTAGTGGGTGTGTAGGAGGTGGCTGATCTATGATTCTCTCTCATCATTGATGTTTCTATCTCTCTCTACCTCTCTGAAGTCAATAAAAATATATATTTGGAAAAAGTTAGCCCTAGCTAGCTTGGCTCAGTGGATAGAGCATCAGCCTGAAGACTGAAGGGTCCCAGGTTCGATTGCGGCCAAGGGCGCGTGCCTGGGTTGCGGGCTTGATCCCCAGTCGGGGTTGTGCAGGAAGTGACCGATCCGTGATTCTCTCTCATCAATTTAAGGAAAAAATATTCCTTAAAAATGTATATCTCTCTCTCCTCTTTCTGAAATCAATAAAGAAATATATTTTAAAAAATAATAAATTTTTTAAAATTTAATATTTGTAAAGCATGCATGAAGCAGTTGATAAATATTGACTTAAAAACATACATCTATATATTTACCTGTAGATCTAGTAGTTTAAGCTATATACTTGGCTAATTATTTTTATTTAAATGTTCTGTAAGCTTTAACCAACTAATAGTCATGTGAAGATATAATGAGACATAAAAATTAAAATAACAAAGAGATACTATTTCTCAAGTTGGCTAAATTTTTTTAACTATTCAGTATTGGCAAGTAAGATACTTGGAAGCATGTTAAATGGCCTAATCTTTCTGGAAAGTAATTTGGCAATATTCCTAAATCTGTAACATGATTCATAAACTTGGACTCATGGGTTCCTCTTTCAGCAATGGCTCCTGGTGGAATAATAAAATATGTAGTGAAAGATAGATAGATGAAGATTATTTATAGTAGACAGTCATTAGAAAACTAAATATCCAACAATATAAGAATAATTAAAATATGGTATATCCTTACTATGTTTATCTTGGCAGCAATTAAAAAAATCACGTTTTTATTAATTTTTAAAAAATATTTTGTATTGATTTCAGAGAGGAAGGGAGAGGGAGAGAGAAATATACTGATGAGAGAGTATTGTTGATCGGCTGCCTCCTAGAAGCACCATAAAGGGGATCAAGCCCACAACCTGGGCCTGTGCCCTGACCGGGAATTAAACTTTGACCTCCTGGTTTATCGGTCAATGCTCAACCACACCAGCCAAGCCATTTTTAATAATTTTTAAAGACAGGAAATGTTTATAAGAGCATGTTCTGTGAAAATGCCATAAAACTACAAATAAGACATTCTCTAATCTCATTAGTGATCTATTGCTGTATAACAAATCACCTCAAAATGAAGCAGCTCAAACAACACACGTTTACTATCTCACAGATGCTGTGGGTCTGGAATCCAGCACAGCTGATCTGGTCTTCCGCTCAGGGCCTCACGAGGCTGAGATCAAGGTGTCCACTGCGGCCGGAGCCTTATCTGGACACTCAACTGGGGAGGAATACACTTGCAAGCTCTATCCTGTGACTGTCGGCAGGGTTCTGTGATTGAGGCTGTTAAACTGGGGTCTCTATTTTCTTGCTGGCTGTTGGCTAGAGGCCACCTTCAATTCCTTGCTGTTGGCCTCTATGACATGCCAACTGGCTTCAATAGAGAGTTTTCTAGCAAGTCAAAATTCACAGCCTCTTGTGCCCTAATAACGGAAGTGACATCCCTCAAAGTTGCCGTATTCTATTGATTATAAGCATGGGACTCACAGGAAGGGAATTACGTAAGGGTTGTGTATTCCAGAGGCAGGGATCGTTCTGGACAGTTGTAGAGATTACCAACCACATGTACACTGAGTGGCCAGATTATTATGCTCTCTAACTATATATATAAGGCCCGGTGCATGAATTTGTGCATGGGTGGGGTCCGGCCAGTCTGGCCAGGGAGAGGAGACATGGGCGGTTGGCCATCCTGCCTGCTGGTAGAACTCCTGTTCGAGGGGACAATTTGCATATTAATCTTTTAATCTATAGAATATACACTGAGTGGCCAGATTATTATGCGCCCAGAGATCATAATAATCTGGCCACTCAGTGTATACACATGGATACATTAATATAGTATTCAAGTATATAGAAAACTGCAGGAAAATATGCCAGCATATTCTAAGTAAATATCTCTAAAATAAAGGCTTATGGGTGGTTTTTAGTTTTGTCTTCACATTTTCTATAGTTTGTGAGGGTTTTTTTTTATAGTGAGCATATTTTAATTTTATAACTAGAAAAGTATCTCTTTTAGCTTTTTAATAAATAGTGAAAATGAATTATATTTGACTCAGAATGTTACAATTAAGATATTCTTAAATGACCCTTCCAGTGCTAAAACACCCCTTTAAAGGACTGGTTGTAGTTAAAATATCTACATCTGGGTGGATACTTTCAAACCTCTGGTAATTAAATGGGTACTCAGGACATGATTCACTGTATCTGGCTTAATTTGAACCCTTTCAACTGTATAAGTTTACAAAAACCCAAGAGAAAGGTCTTTAAACACCCAGTTGCATTTGTTTTTTTAGTGCACGTACCCATACTTTCAGTCACAACCATAGAGAGGAATGTTACTAGGCAGGTAAGTCAACTACTCCACAATAATTTTCTCTCTTTTCATTCTGTGCATTGCAATGGCCTCGGGGAAACACAGTCCTTGTGCTCAAGAAAGTTACATTCTAGTTGGTAAGAGAAAACAAATACACATCAAATAGCAGCACATCATTCTTTCTTTGAGGTACATAAAGCATCCCCGGTTCTGACATGCTTGCACCACAGATGCCTTAATAATTCGGATAAAGGAAGGCTGGCCCTAGCCGGTTTGGCTCAGCAGATAGAGCATCAGCCTGTGGACTAAAGGGTCCCGGGTTCGATTCCGGCCAATGGCATGTACCTCAGTTGCAGACTCCTTCCTGACCCAGGCCTT